CCCCCTTTTTAAGAATGGAAATGTTGCACTTTAATCTCTTGATCTTGGTCATACGGTGAAAGAAAGCCGTATTTTTGTCCCCCCACTTGTGCATCTTAAGATTCGCTTTCTCCGATAAGAAGACTTCCTCATAATGCTACGCTTTTTTGAGGTTTGTTTGAGCCTCCTTTTCTAGAGCTTTAAGATCACTCCTAGGGCCATGTAAACTGATATCCTGCTGAATTGACTCCAGAGAGGAAAGGCAGTTGCTTATGAATTTTTTGAAATGACCAAATATGTCAATGTTCCAAATCTTTAAACTCTTTTTCATGATTTGCAGCTTTATTTGAAGAATGTACATCGGGCACCCAAAAACCTTAGTGGCCCAAATCATAGCAATATGGTCTTTAAAATTGTCATGGAAAGTCCAAATCTCCAAGAATCTAAATTGAGAAGGCAATGTAATGTTGTTAAAACAAGCTTCGATGAGAACTAGATGGCGGTCTGATTTGAATCTCGAGAGCGAGATGACCTGAAAGTTGCTGCAAGCTAAGAACCAGTTCGGATTACCAAAAGCTCGGTCAAGCCTTCTTTCAACTGAGGCACTATCACTTCTCCCATTATGCAAAGTGAGGGTAGGACCTTTAGTAAGGAATTCGACCAAGCTAGAATCGTTAACCCAAGCACGAAAATCCTGGATGAAAGCATTACTAGGGCTAGAGCAGCCTCTATGCTCATGAGCACAAAGAATAGAATTAAAATCACCAACTATACACCAAGGGATATTCAATGAGTTGAGACAAAATGAAGAATCCGTCCATACCCTTTGTCTAATGATGTAGTTTGTAGAGGCATAAACGACAATGAAACCAAGATTAATGTTGTCAATGCTAATGGTAAAGAAGATAAATTGTTCATTGATAGATTAAATGGTCGGGCTTAAATATTTTTTACACACATCAAAGATTGGTCTGCCTCTGCTGTCTGTCATTGACAACAAACATCTTGAGGTTAAGAAGGTCCTAAAATCTAGAAAAAAAACTTGCACGAGAGCACCAAGGTTCAGCAACAAAACAGTAATCTGGATTGTAAATTCTCAAAAATGATTTAAGTGCCAATTTAGATGGGGAGTTGACAATACCTCTGATATTCCAAAACAGGCACTTCATCGAGAAGGGCTAATGCAATCATCTAGAGAACTGGTGAGTTTTCCCTTCTTTATTTTCTTAACTTTCCGTTTTTTCTTCTTATGCACTTTAGAAACCAACAATTGGAAATTCAATTCCTCTCTTACTATGCAGTTCTCATCAGAGGGATTTTCATTATCTTCCTCATCAATCATGTTAGTCTAATAGTTTCTGAGGAAAACTTCATTCTTGTTTTGAATTTCTGCAATAGTGTCCTCTTTACTACTTTGAATCTCAACCATAATACCCTGCAAAGAAATAGGTTGGGTTTCCTCCACACAGTCTGGCTCATTAGATTTAAAGTTTTCTTCCTCTTGACAATTGTCACATAAGATTGGAGAATTTAGCAATTCAGTATCAGGGTTACCTGCAACCGCGGTCAGCCTCTTTGAAACTTCTAGATTCGCAACTGGTTGAGTAGAATCTTCAGTTTCCACATCATGATTAACAGCATTGATGTTTTCACCGTTCGCAGTATTATTGGAGTTTCTAGTCTAAACCTGTGCAGCTTTTTTGATTCGAAAATTTGTCCTTGATTTTCTAGCTCCATTATCTTTGGTTTCTTGTTTTTTTCCTACAGTTCATATCAGTGTGACCAATGTTTCTGCAAAAGTTGCAAATCTCTAGGACTTTTTCGTATTCAATCTTTACAAAGAATGCAAAACCAATCCTTTCAACAAGAATCTTATATGCTAAATCTTTGAGTAAATCAATATCAATCAGCACTCTAACAAAATGCTCAAAAGATCTCTCAAATGGGGACCTATTAGAGGCAGAGTCAATGTAGATAGGAGTACCTAAACTACTTGTAATCGCAAATATGATTTTTGGTCTCCAGTGCTCTTGAGAAAGACCATGAATCCTGACCCATACTTTAGTAGAGGTGTGATTAACATTAGATGGAACAAAGTCCCTTGACCAAGGGAATATTTTCAAGACTCGAGGGTGTCGTACCTCGAAAAATACGATCCTCGCGATGGACGCGGAAAAAACGTTCGAACAGAGTCGCCACCGAACTTTATTCATTCCAAGGAAGGAATAGGAAAATATCGATAAAACCTTTAAAGAGATAAGAACATGGTCATCGCAACCAAATTCTAGGTTCGGGAGTCGATTACGCAAAAGGAAGGTATTAGCACCCTCTACGTCCGTTGTACTCAACGGGAACCTCTTGATTCGATTCGAGAGTAAAGCTAGCTAGGTTGTTTGTTTTCTTCTAAGGTTTCGCCTATAGGGGGAATGGGTAGTTGTAAGATAGAGTGCTCGCCAAGGATTGGGGGTACATTTATTCAAATGGGTATAGAATTAAGAAATTAAATTGAGTGAAAAAACGATTTGGAAACCGAAAGACGGAACAACCACAGCTCAAGGCGTGTGCCTCAAGAGCGGTTGTTCAAGAATCCAAGGAAGGCGGGATCCAAGAATTCACTATTCAAAATTCTAATCTAAAGTGGTAACAATATAAATTTAAATATCATAACCACATTGCAACCCTTATCGCTTCATAATTACCTTAATAAAAAACTAATCATCATAAAAAAGATAAACGGTGCCAAGGATTACATAGGGCAAGTTCAGATATTACAATCTCTAGCCTAAAAAAAAGATTTGCTTGGCACAAATGAATTCTAATAAAATCAATAATAAGGCCAAATAGCATAAATTATACACGTATAAACACTTCTTCAAAGTTATGTGATTATGTCGGCACATAGTATCGCCGGTTGTGCACAGTCCGCATCGAATGTAGAAGCAACCAAAACTTTGTATTAAAACAAGGAGGAAAAAAACAATGCGTCCATGAATGCTCTCATCTTTCTCAACCGAATGGAATACACAAATTAAAGCAGAAATTTACATGTTCTAATATATTAATAGTAATGGAAACAAATAAAACTAAACCAGCTTCCATACGAAAAATGTAATTATAACCCTGCTATTTGTAAAAGTCATCAATCTCTCAATAATAATCTCTATATTACCGGCGACATAACATTTGTAATTGATCTAAAACTAAACCGACTTCGAAGCCGTAATAAATGTGAAATTGAAAGCATAGAAACAAAATTGGCACTTAACAGAACAACGCAGTTCACACAATGCACGCAGAAGAATAAAAATCAATTTCAGATTCACAACTTAACCAATTATAACCACTATAACAAATATTGCAACATCTCCACATAACCTAAAAATGAATAATAGGAAACCACGACAAGTTAAACAAAACATGCTAACAAAAAGTCAAGAAAACCGACCGACATAAGACGTCTTGCCATGGATGTATTACTTGAAGTTGTCGAATCATCGACTCGTCAACAAATTGGAATGTCGGAAACTTGCGTACATGCTGAAGACATTAACGCAGAGCTGCTCAGCTTTGCTTACACGTTCAACAGCCTTATTCCACACGGATCGGTCCTTAACAGCAACGCACAAGTATCTCCAAGTTGCTATAATGGTGATTGAACCTAAAACTCATCAATACAATATGAATTTAAACAACAACACTAATCTTAAATCGTGAAGGTGATGCTGAAGAAGCTCTCGGCGGCAAGATCTATGAGCTTCTGTTTCTGTTTTCTTTATTCGAACACATTTGAAGTAGAAGACTCGAAGCAAACAATTAGAAAAATGGTGGTTCTGAGCTGCAGATCGGCAAATGAGCTATTGTTGCTGGAGTTGCTGTGACGTCGACGTGATACGCGTGAGGGAGAGGGTTTTGCGAAGATGATAATGAAGACGGAAGGCGAGTTTTGGTTGTGAGATTTACGAGGTTTACGGTTTTGGTGAAGGAAAGGGTTCGTGACGGGCGGCGGATTTCGCCAGAAAGAAGAGAGGTTATGTTGGGTGAAAGCGTGATGGATGGGTTTTTCGCCGAAAATCGGAGGAAGGCGATGAGATGATGACGGTCGAAGAAAAAGAAAGACAATGAGGGTTTTTTGGTTCGCAGGGCGAGTGAGGATAGTGGCGGCGGAAAGGTTTATGTTGAAGGAGAAGGGTTCGACTGCCGAATTTCTGGGGTGAAGGGGAAGAAGGAAACGACGGCTTAGGTTTGCAATTTGGAAACGATGAGGAATTTAGGGTTTCTCTAATTTGGGGCGGCTAGGGTTATGATGGGTTCCAGATGAACAGTGACCATTCCCAATTTATACCAAACTCCCAACTCTAATTTTCCTCAATTTTCAGCTATTCCCACCGTATCCTTGCTTCTCTTCAATTCTTTTTTATTTTTTTAATTAATTTTTTAATTTTCTAACTTAACTAACTAATATAAGTTCTAAATTGATTTTTAACTCTAATTTAAAAAACCTATTCTAATTCTAACTAAGATTCTAATTTTAATTCTAATTAATTAATTAATTCTAACCCTAACTAATCTTAATTCTAACTTAATATTCTAAATTCAATTCTAATTAACTAATATTAAAAAATTAATTCTATTTTTAATAAAAATTCTAATTAAAAATTCTAACTAAGTTCTAATTCTATTCTAATTAATAAAATTCCTAATTAAAATTTTAATTTCTAATTATAATTAAATAATTTTAATTCTATCCTATTCTAAAATAATAATATTAATTAATATTAAAATTATATTATATTAACATTATCTAAAAATAAAATGTTCAAACAAAAATAATAATAAATAAAAAGATGCCACATGGCGCATTCTTGTTGGGCAAAAAGGCGAAAAAATGTTTTTTGCTGAAAAAATACGCTACGCTGTACAAGCGAGGCAAATCAAAATTTAAGTCGGGCGAATGAAAATTTTGAAAAAGGTAGGACAAATTTGGAGTATGACACAGGGCTTAGGTTCCAAGAGGGCATGGATCAGACTCTTCTAACATCTTTCAAGGAAGAGAAAGTAAATTCATAGAACCCCTTACCTAGGAAAGTGATACCCCATTTATCCATAGAGCTCAAGAGGTTGGAAAGTTTGGTTCGAATTTGTTGGACAGTGAGAGGAGTGATTCCTTTGGACCAGATCATTCTACCATGTAAGTTGTGCTTGCACGCGTCAAGGCCCAATTGATATTCATCTTCAGGTATAGCTATGGAGATTATATCTTCTTTGACACAGGGAATGAGAAGTTGACTAAAAGGGATGTTGCAAACATTTCCTAGTGCTTCAGCAAAAGATTTGTGAGGTTTGGAAGCAATGGATTGGTGGTCGTGAGGTTTGAGCAAAGTAGGTGAAAGATTGGTTTCCGGAAAGAGGAGTGGACCCATTTATCATGAAATCAGCAGGAACAGCAGAGGTGAGGAAGAGGAAGAACCATTGAAGACCTTCTCAATTCTTTTGTTTGTTTTTTAAATATAATTTCAGTTTTATTATATTTCAGTTCAAAACCATTTTGAAGACATGCAAAACAAACTATCGCATAGAATCTCAAATTTTTCAATATTAAACTATTGTGAAATGAAGTCTCATAAATATTTATCTGATTAAATTATAATTAAATAAAATCTCTATTTTTTTTTCTTATTAAATTATTACTTACCTAAGATCTTCAAGAATTAAAGACGGTTTTGCTCAAAAATTTTGACGGATCAATCCTTCCAACTTCATTTATTTAACATGACTTTTCTGTATCAATAATGCACTCGCGTCTAGATTCATATCTTGTATGTAAAGAAATTGACGAATAGACTAAAATGACTATTGTGCAACTAATTCGGGGACATATTTGTCTTCTTACAAAATTTAGATGTTAAAATAATTGTGTTCACTATTTAAAGAACTGATTTATTCGGAGATGAATGATTAGTGACGTGTGAGTATCCATTGGTTACTCATTTTCTCAATGAAAACAATTTGTAGTATCCAACCCTCACCCTCTATATTTTCTTTAAACCAGGTTGAAATTCACATGGTGTGACCCACATGAGTTTTATTCACTCAATTATAAAAGAATATTGGAGAATAAGTATTAAAGAATGGGTTAGTACTTAGTAGCACTTTGTTGGTAAAATACATCATACATTTGACTTAGATGATGGATACTTATAAAAGATATTCATTACTTTTGAGAAGAAAAATCATGATGTAATTGTTTTAGTTTTTTTATTTGATGATCCAAGTGATTTGATTTAGGAACAAATATTTAAAATGAATCAATCATATTTGCATACAATTTTTTGTTTTAAAATTATACATGTTTCTAATAAGAAAATCGTATATTTTAATATTTCTTTATGATATTTATAAACTAATAATACTACATAATATATAATATCATAATATATCTAATAAAAAAATAAAGAAGAGAAAGTAATATGATATTTTTATAATTTTTAAAAATTAATAATTATTTTATCCTCGATCATATGGACGAATTTTAAAAAACCTGTAAAATCTTACGATCTCCAACTATCAAACTTTATAACTTAACTATAAGTTTTTTTTAACATTAATTTGCATCAATATTATATATTATTAGTTAACATTAATTATTAGTAAAACATTAATTATATATTACTTAGCATTTAATAAATATTAATTTTTAATAAAACGTCACAGTATTATATATTACTATTATATATGTTAGTTAGTATAATTATATATTACTAACTATATATTAGTTACAATATCATATAATACTATTATAAATATTAAAATATTAATTGTATCATAGTTAGTTAGTTAGTATAATTATATATATTACTAATTATAGTATAATTATTTAACATTTAAATATGGGTTAATAGCTATCTTGTCCTCTACTATATGGATAAATTTAAAAAGAAATTCTCTCTAAAATATATTTAGATTTTCTCATATCATTTGAAGATTTCACTATTTTGATCCTCTAGCATTTTATTTATTTATTTATTATTATTTTTAATTATGTGGATGACTTAGTTGACATTTTTTATTATTATTTATTTTTTAAATTTCATGTGACATCTTTTATTATTATTTTATTATTTTGAAGTTAAATATCAAATTTTTAAAAAATGACCTTTTGTCACGTCAAAGATTCTGCTGATTAGATTTTAAGAGAGGTCAAAACAGTAAAATCTTCAAATGTTAGGGGAATCTAAATTTTTTTTATAGAGACAAAATAGCTATTAACCATTTTTAAAATGGTTAAATAGGTTTATAATTCCTCTAAATATCTCAATTTTTTTTTATTTTTTTTTAAATGATTTTCCAAATATTTTTCATTCACACTTTGGGTCCCTCCTGAAAATGTTTGTCAACAAAAAATAATGTGGCATGACACGTGATATTGTCAACGTGACAAAGATGATGACATGGATGTCACATGACATTTTGTCCCATTTTATATTATTCATATTAATTAAATTTATAGCGACGGAGATTTCGTCGCTAACATGAACATCATACAAAAATCCAAAAAAACGTAGCTAATATGTAGGTAATTCCTAGCTAATTCAAACACATCATTCTTATGACATAGACTTTGTGTTCTTTTCATGATTTTTTGCAAGCAAGTTTATCAAAATATAAGGATCTCTCTCACAAAATTATAATTTTTTTTAAAACTTTATTTGAATTAAATAGGAATTTTTTAAACACTGATTTTACATGAAACGAAAACATTGTAAACGTTGGTATATGATTGAATTTTTTAGGGGTGTTCATGGTATATTCACTTAAAGAACCAAATTGTACCGAACCAAACCAAACCATTTTGATTTTCTTCCGAACCAAACGGAACTAAACAATTGGTTCAGTACACCGATTCTTAATTCTAAACTGTACCAAATTGTCAACAACCATTTTGAAAAAAAAACATTTGTTACTCACTACTACGGAAAACATATACAACAACAGTTAGAAAAAGGATACCATCACATGTGGCCCACCGTTGTGAAGTAGCGTGTGGTTATATATGTGTTACTTACAATCACGGTCGTATGACCGTTGTAGAAAACCTGAAAGCGTGCAACATATTACCTTAATCGTTGTAATATATTTAAGGTCTCAGATTCGATTCTCAGCAACGCCTTTTTGGTATATATATTATTATGGACAACGTTCACTCTATAATCACTATCATATTTAATAACCGTCATTAAATTATCTGTTTTTTGAAAATTTTCCATGTTTTAACCTGTATTTTTGTGAATCATATCAGAATAGAAATATCAATTGTATCATAGCAATAATTGTATTGTATTATATCAAATTCATATATTGGACTAAGAACAAAGTGTTTTATATATATTATATCAAAATAAAAATGGCACAAAATAACCTATAACACATTATCTAACATCACATAATTGTATTTTAGTGTTTTGGTTTCTTGTCTCTTTGTGTCTTGAGTTTAAACACCTAAAATTTCAAATAATCATACTTGTTAGTAAATATGCTTAGAAATAAGGCTTAATTCATCTTTTAGTCCCTTAAGTTAATTTATTGTTTCTAATCAGTCCCTTAATGTAGTCCTTTAAGGCTACTCCATTAACACATTAAATCCTTTTTGTTAATTTTTTTAGAAAAATGTTAAGAGACTCCTATGTGGCATTGTGTGATACTTATGTGGCATTGTTTTTTTTCTAATGACTATTATAGTGACGTGTCATTATGAGTCTTTTGATTTTCCTTCAATCTGTTTTTTTCTTCATTTTTAGTAACAAATATCATAAACTCTTTAACTTCGCTTTGAACTTCATAGTTTCATTGTCATTGCCTAAAAAAAACCAGCAGTTGCAAAGAAGAAGAGCTCGGTGGTTGAAGGCAACGATTGTTGGAGAAGACAATAGCAGAAGACGATAGCCGAATACAATAGCAAAAGACGATACGTAGCAACTCAACCATTGTCTCATTTCAAAGCTAAGGTACGTGTATGAACTCACTATTTTAAAAAGCAGACATTTTAACAATTTCTTTTACTTAGATGTTTGATTTATGAGTTATCTGGTGTGATTAGGTCGTGAGTGATAGGTTTGAGTGTGTTGGCCATCATGAGGGTGTGTTTGGTGAGTTTAACATATTAGATTACAATGGTTTAGAAGAGGTTTGGCAAGTTGGCCCAAATTTTTGGAGTTATTTTGAGATTCTAGGTGGGTTGAAATATTTAGGGTACCTAAAAGTTGAGAGCTTGTGGTATTATAATGCAATGGATGATAATGAGCTAGTGATCTTGCAAGATGGCACAGGAACAAATAGAACGAAGACCATTGCACTGATCAATGGGAATGTTCATCTATTTTAATGCATCCAGTGTATGGGGAAGAGGAAATATTGCCTCTTGAGAACAATGTAGGTCCAAATGATGAAAATAATGTAGCTCCAAATGGTGAAAACAATGTAGGTCCAAATGGTGAAAACAATGTAGGTCCCAATGTTATAGAAGAAGACAGTTTGAAAGATGACATGTTGGATGAATTGAATAATGGTGTAAAAGGAACTTTTGATGACTTGGAGACCATTGAAGAATTGAATAATCTAGGTGACAATTTTGATGAAGGAGGGCCTACAGGATTAGAAGATTCTGCTGTAGTTGACCAAGAAGCTTCATTTGAGGATGTTAATATGGATGAGACCACTGAGAGCAATAACCAAAAAGAGTCATGTCAGGATGTTAACTTTGAGGGAGACACTGTGTCTGAGGATGCAATAATGGATATTACTTTATATGGGACCACTAGACATATTGTATATGACCAAGAAGATGATGTATTGGATGACACATCTTACTTGGTGATTGTTTCAACTGATTATGTAGCTGAGGGACTAATTTGTAACCAAAAGGATCATCAGGGAGCAAAATGTAACCAAGAAAATGAGGGGCTGAAATGTAACCAAAAAGATTGTGTGAATAGTGAAGATGATAGTGTGTTGAATGAGTTCTTTGGGGATTCTGGTGATGATTTAATTGGAATTGCTGAAGAAATTGCTATTAATATAGATGAAAGGAAAGGAGAAAGGAAAAGGTAAGGATAAGGGTAAAGGAAAAGGTAAGGATAAAGGGAAAGGAAAAGGTAAGAGTAAGGAGGGACCAAGGAAACAAAAAGTGGTGGAAGAAGCAGTTGAGGGTAGTGGTGTATTTGATGATGTGAATGAATGTGAGGCTACAAAGGAAAGCTTTATAAGTTTGAGTGACATTGAGGAGTATGACAATGATGAGTTACTGCATGATTATGATACTGAAGATGATGAGATTTTAAAAGATGATTTTCCAACTTTCAAGCTTCCAAAAAGAATGGATGATTAAAAGTGGGAATTAGGGAGTTATTTTGCTTCTTAGGAAGGCTTTAAAGAGGGAATTAGAACTTATGCTATTCATTCAGGTAGAAACCTCCCATTTAAGAAAAATGATAATAAGAGGATGAGATTCATATGTAAGAAAGGTTGTCCATGGGAGTCATATTGTGCAAAATTACAAGATAATAATACTTGTCAGTTGGGAAAGATTGTGGACAAGCACACATGCAGTAGGGACTATAAGGGGAGGTTCCTAAATTCCAAATGGTTGGGAAAAAAAATTCAAATTAATGTAAGAGAGAATCCTAATTTGAAGTTGAGTGATATAATGGAGAAACAAAACAAAAATGGAATGTAGGGATCAATAAGACACTTGCATACAGAGCTATGTCACTTATTATTGACATTGTTGATGGTTCATTTAGAGAGAAATATACAAGAATCCATGATTATGGTCATGAGGTGTTAAGGGAAAACCCTGGTTCAACTGTGAAAATTAATAGTCAACCAATTCAACCAAGTCAAGGTGGGGAGGAAAGTAGTGAGAATCCTGAAAGGCCTTTGAATCCACATTTCCAAAGGATTTATATTTGCCTAAAAGCTTGCAAGGATAGTTTCTTTAAGTGCAGACCTATCATAGGTTTAGATGGATGCTTTTTTAAAGGCAATTATGATGGACAAATTCTTGCAGCCATTGGAAGAGATCCTAATGACCAAATGTTGTCAATAGCATTTGCTGTAGTTGAGGGAGAAATCAAAGATTCATGGAGTTGGTTTTTGGATCTATTGACACATGATTTGGGAAGTGTGAGATTATGCAAGACATATACCTTTACAAGTGATCAATAAAAGGTGTGTACTAATATATTTATAACTGATTTTGTTTTTGATAGATTATGTTTTTGATAGATTTTATTTTTGATATCTTTGAATCTGATTTGGTATGACTAGAATACAAGGGTTGTTATCTGCTCTTGATGAGCTGCTACCAAAAGTTGACCAAAGGTTTTGTGTTAGGTAAACATCATTGCTAACTCAGATTTGATAAATTTTATTCTTGTTAGTTTCTGATGTGGATGTTTGACATGTGTTATTGGTAGGCACTTATATAGCAATTTTAAGAAGAAGTTTCCTGGTGTCAAATTAAAGGGATTGATGTGGAAGGCTGCTAATGCAAGTCATTCAAATGCTTGGGAAACAAATATGTGTGAAATGAAAGAGGTGAATGAAGAAGCAGTCAAGCACCTTTGGAAGATCCCACCAAGGTTCTGGAGCAAATCTAGGTTTAGAAATGGTCCAAAGTGTGACAATTTGGTGAACAACATGTCAGAAGCCTTTAACTCTGTATTTGTAGCTGCAAGAGCCTAGCCCATCGTGAATATGCTTGAGGAGATTAGAGTGTACCTGATGCAAAGGTGGGAGTAAAAAAAAAGATTTCCAAATATGCTGATACCATTCGGCTAAATATCATAAAGAAGTTGGAAAAAGAATCACAAAGAACTAACAGTTGTATTGTGAGGTAATGTCTCATACTTGATTTCTAGGTAATACAAAGAAGGTGTATGCATCCATAACTGATTTACATATTTATAACATACGTGCATGTGAAGTAGACTTTGAGGTTAGGCACATATCACTCATAGAAGAAAAGTTTGTTGTTAATCTATCAAAGCATGAGTGTTCATGTAAAAGGTGGATGTTGACTAGGCTACCATGTGTCATACCCCAAACTTTGACCAAAACATTTTTTATTTTTCATTCATCTGACTGTATTTTCACTTTGTAACGTCTGCATAACATATCATGTCTTTTATTATGCATAATGCCCAAATTATAAAGCAGAATAAATTTGTCGGATTTACAGTCGTTTTGGTCAAACTAAAGGTCAATTGTGCGTAAAATCAGTGTACGGACAATTTTAAAATTGAACTTGTAAAAATCAGTTATATTAATCTATGTTTCACATAGTTTAACCTGGTGTGCTCGTTTTAATTTTTCAACTGCTTTTCAGACATATTTTTAATACGTCTGAGCCTTTTAACCGGGAAAAATTTATTTCAAAATTTGTCCAAACACTGTATTTTTCCGAATCGTTTATTTCGCGCTGATCATTTTTCTTTATTCACTTTATTTTTTTGGACACTTCGATACCAGACTATTTTATCGTTTTTAATCAGTTTCAATTTTAATTTTAGTTAATATTATTTTTATTAATCAAATGTTAATATCTGTTTTTAATAACTTTTTTTTATTATCATTTCTTCTTTTTATATAATATTTATTTTTATCATTTTTTAACTTAGCTTAGTTTCTACTTAGCTTAATTTTTAAGCTTCAAAAGTGTATATGTCATGTATGTATGTCACAAACTTCATGTGCAAGTAAGTTTTGCTATGAAAAAAGAAGTAGCAACACAACAACATCATACAACAACAACAATCTAGAGCATTTAACTTTTATTCATTATTTTTTATTAATTTTGTGTCTAATCCAATTTTAGTTTTTATTTTAATAATTTGTTTAATTTTAGTTTAGATAATTTTATTTAATTACTAAATATTCTTCATTATTTTAAATTATTTATATTTTATTTTATTTTAGTTTAACTTATTTATATTATATTTTGTTTTATTTTAATTTATTTTTATTATATTTATCTTTTATTTATTAAACTTTCTTTTTATTTATATTATATTTATCTTTTATTTATTAAACTTTCTTTTTATTTTAACTTTTATCATTTAAAATCTTTGTTTAAATACATTTATTTTCCATTGTTTATTTTACCCTTTTAATCATAGAAGAAAAAAAAGACTAAATATACTTATACTTTATATCTATTTAAGTTCAAAGAATTTCTTTTATTTCAAGTATACACTTTGATTTTATTTTCTAAATTTTTGTTTTTTTAACTTATACATGTTTTTTAACCTAATCTTTGACATCATACTTGTTTCCATTGCTTAATGTTTGATACTAGTGATTAAAATGTCTCATTTTCTTAATACTTATGTTGTTAATCTTATCATCTCCTCTGTTCATCATGTATATACTTGTGAATCCATGTCCATTTTATTTCATTGTACATAATCCAAGGGAAAGGATCTATGTTGACTAATTAGTCATTCATATGTATTTGTACATAACTATTGCATTTCTTACTACCCATTATCTAAACCCCAATTCAACCTTAGGACTTTTAAACCACTTTCTTACAAACCTTTAACTCTTCATTCAAACCTTGTCATAGAGATAACCACTAATCTCTCCTCCCTTTATAACCTTTAACTCTTCACTCAAATTCTTTCATAAGAGATAGTCATTAATCTCTCCACCTTTACAATCAATCATCACAAGCTTTGCTTTCAAGCTTTTCCCGTTTATTGTCTTGGTTCTTAGAACCCTAACAACACATAGGTCCACGAACTACGAACTCTCTGATTTCTCAAGTTCCTTTTGAGAATACGTAGGCACAACGTCCCAATCCTTGGTGAGCACTCATCCCTTTTTTCCACTCTTTTTCTTTTTCACCCTTTTCTTTTTATACATGTGGTCTCTGGAGTACAATTGCTCTGACTTCCTCTTAAGGATATATAGGCATAGGATTGCGAGATCCTAGCGAGTTACCTTTTTATTCTACCTTTTTATTCATACACATTACAAAAAATAACAAAAACATTTCCCACTCTCATCATCACTAAAAAACAATCTACCTTCCCAATCAATAGCAAACAACTTTAGCAAAAACATAAATATTTCAAAAGATTCTTGTAGAGTACTGCAGATGCTTAGGATATTAATACCTTCTCTTAGTATAACTAACCCCCGTACCTTTGATCTCTTATTTGCATAATCTTTAGCCTCATCTTTAGTTTTGCATATTTAGTTAGGGTTTATTCGTTCTTTTACCCTTCCCTTGAATAAATTAAAGCTCTGTGGTGACATCTTATGTTTTTGCGAGTCAAGTTAATGCAATAGCTTGATCTCCTATTCTCACCGCGATTACACCATGTTGTCATGCCCTTTCATGTATGAAGGATCAACATTTATAAGTAAATGATTTTGTTCTTAATTATTACAAAAAGGAGTGTTATGAAGCTTGCTATGCACCAGCGATTTATCCAGTCAATGGAGAATCTCTATGGACCAAAATAAATGTTATTAATCTGCAACCACCCTCATAAAAAGGCAACCTGATAGACCCAAGAAGAAAAGGAACAAAGAGGTTGGGGAACAAGTTAGAAATGAGACATAACTCAAAAGGGCCAAATTTGGTATCAAGTGCAATAGGTGCCATAAGGATGGTCACAATAAGGCCACTTGGAAGCTGCCTACAATTGCTGCTATTACATCAACCCAAGCACCAACTGCTGCTGCTACATCAACCCAACCACCAACTACTACTACTACATCAACCTAACCACCAATTTTTGCTGCTACATCAACCCAAACACCAGTTATTGTTACATCAAGCCAACCAACACCAGTTGCTACTACATCAACCTAACCAACACCAGTTGCTGCTACATCAAGCCAATCAACACCATATGGAGGTTCAACTCAGCAAGTGTCCAAAAAAAGAAAGAGACTTCAAAATGGTCTAAAACCAGTTATGAGCCAGCCCTAAAATTAATTATGTTTGCGACTAAGGCTATTTTGTAGTTTATGACTAAGGCTTATAATGCATATTTTGTAGTTTTTTACTAAGGCATAAATGCAACTTTTGTTGGATTTCTACTGCTGTAACATATGACATAAAATTATTATTCTCTAGTTATGTCTAATGGCTTGCAATGCCAATTTTGTTATGACTTGTAATGTTACTATTGTAACTAATGTTACTAATATAAATCTGTTATGGTTTTTTGACTACCGTTATGACCAATTTATGGTGTGCATTTGTTCTTGTATATTGTGGAAAATAAACAAAAGTAACATTTCAGGAAATATATTTCATTGATAAATTTTGACACATAAATAACATTGTTGGCAGACACATTTCACAGATACATTTCAACCTCCTTGTTCACAAATACATGTCATCACACAGGAAAATAACCCACCTAAAAAAATTGTTACAAATAAAATATTACATACTAAGCTCAGCATTCCAATGATTACAGACAATTTCAACCATCCCCTAGTGTTGATGATCTCATTCTTAAATTTGTAAATTTTATTCTTTTGCCTCTGGATCTTCAAATCCCTTTCATCAATAAAGTCGTCATCGAACCATTTGAAAAAATTACATCCCTTATTCACACGATTTCTGAAATTTCTGCAACCCTAAAATTTTTTCCCAAAATTGACATTACTCATGTCACCCACAGTATGAAGCACACATTCATCTTAGAAAAAATGCACCCTCCTTTTATTTATGCAAATAATCGAACCAGATGTGTCAATGGAAGCATTACTTGACAACTTAGACATTGGAGAGGAAGGATAAAACCCTAGGAATGGAGACAAATTGAAAAGAACAAGATGAAGAGAACAAAGTGAAGGAACCAAACACAAAAATGAAGTTTGTAATCCAGCTATTCTTTTCAGCAGTGCCAAATAACAAGAAGGAAGAGATTATGAAGGTCTTTCTTATACACGTAAAAAAATTTCTGGAAATTATTGACATCCACCCAACATTTAACCCTTTAAAACATGAATTATTTATTCATTTGATGACTAGGCACATTGGCACGCCACCCTGGAATTTACTAACAGTCTAACACCTTAAGTAACGGAATGAATCAAATATGTTAACGTAAGTGCATTTACAGGACCAAATCAAATCACTTTTTTATCGAGAGACTATATCACAACTCATAAATAACTTACGAGACTTGGGGACTAATTATGCGTAGAAATAATAACTTACATTAAATTATGAACCGCAAGATAACCATTAGATGTAGAAGGATATGTAATCAAAAAAATGCATCTCACGGTGATCTACATGCACTTGGAAATGTATATCCTCTTTTACCAAGCAGTCAAGATACATTTTGCATAGCTCCGTCGTCTGATTCCATATGAGTGGGATGAATGCAGAAGAATAGGGCATATCTTGAGTGTAGGTTAAAGAATATAAACAAATAGGTGTATGTAGGAAGTTCTTGAGGATCTAATCCTAGAAATGGTACATATAAATCATTAGTAATGTCGTAGCAAAAGTGTTATGAAAATGACACACAAACACAAAAGATGCAGAAATATTACCGTTAATAGTGTGATGTTGCAAGTTGTAACACCCCAAATTTTATTGGAATATTTATTTAATTTATTTAAATAATAATATTCGCATTTTTGGCAATTTCGGTGGTTGTTGTGGAATATTGGGAATTATGGAGTTTTGGATTATTTATTTAAATAAT